TGCACACATGCCCAGTGTGAGTTTAAGCCACCAGGTCTGGGACTTGAACCACAGTCGGTTGGTTACATGGGAGTCCAGTGATATAGCTATTACGCCATCTGCTGGTCTTGGTCTAACTTTTCTTTTAAAGAATTATTTTATTTAACTATTTTAATTTGACCACAGAGGGATTGAGCATGAGAGAGAAAGTGAGAAGCAAGCTGCTGGTTCCAAGACTTGAACCGTGATCAGCCATGTGAAAGTCCAGCACCCCTAAACACCACACCACCTGCTGGCCCTGAGACCCGCTAATTTGAAAGAGTCCTTTGAAATAGCCAACATATTCAAACAGTAAGACTATGACCAAGAACAACAGAATGTTGTGGGCCTAAAACTCCTCAGCTGCTGCTAATGAGGGGTTAAAAAAAGAAAAGTCAAGATTTCACCAGTCCATTATAATTGTCATTGTAATTGCAGAATTCCAACAGTGCTTCAACACAGATAAACAGAATGAGCCCAAACCAAACACTGCTAGGAAAAACCAGAGCCTCAACACCGGGAACAGGTCAGCAAACACTGCAGACAGTGGAGATACTGAAAGGTAAGGTCATCACCCTAGTTTACAGATGACAGCACAGGTGTGGAAAGTTATGATGACGGGAACAGCAGATGGCACAACGGTTACATCACTGAACTCCCACATCCACATAGTTGACCACGGTTCGAGTCCGGATCCCAGACTCAGCTGCTTAAAACTCAAGCCGGCACACGCAGCATGGCCATTTCCCCTGGGGTGATTTCTCGCTTTGTCTGTCCCTGTGTCTTTCTGGTGAGCACATGCACCTCATAAGAAAAAAATCTCCCATAGGGACCAGCAGTTGGTGTAATGGCAACGTCACTGGACTCCCCTGTAGTTGACTGCAGTTCAAGTCCCAGACCCAGTGGCTTAAACTCACACCAGACACGTGTGCATGCATGCCCATGATCCCAAGGAGAATGGAGAAGGGACTGTGGCATGGCCATCCCCCCTGGGAGGGTGATTTCTCACTTTCTCTCTTTCTGGCGAACACGTTTCCTATAGCAAAAACCTCTCCAAAAAAAAAAAAAAAAAAAGAAGAAGAAGAAAAGAAAAATCTCTCCTAAAAAAAAGAGAAAATTTATGTGAGGTGTCTGTAGCCATTCCGCTACTAAGTAGCAGACAGGGCATGTCAGATAGAGGCCTGGTTCTTCCTGCAACATTGACCTCTGACCTGCCTCCTCCACTACTCTGGGAGTGGACAAAGACCCCTAAGAGGTTACTCTGTAACATTCCCACTGAGGTTTCTTAAAAGCAAAACCACATTTATACATTGTAAGTTAAGGCTGTAGGTACTTAAAAAAAGATACAAAGTAAATCAGTTACCAATTAGGACACCCTGCCTACAACCACCAGGGCTTGATTTCAAGGCTGTAAATCTAACAGTCCACACTCCTAGTGCCTTCTCTCCTCAAACCTGACTGTGACATTCCAAAACAAGACTGAAATGGGGACCAGCAGGTGGCATGGTGGTTAAGGCGCTGGGCACTCCCACATGGTCGACCACGGTTTGAGTCCTGGACCTGGTGGCTTGCTTTCTCACTTTCATTCTCTCTCTCTAGTCAAATTAAAATAAATGGATGAATAAACAGATTAACTAAATAATTATTTTCTAAAAAAATTTTTCAAAGACCGATGAGAAATTATGAATCATCTGCCTCTCACAACTAATTCATGTTTTGAAGCCAGAAGTAAGAAAGACACAGTGGAATCTGCAATTAGAAATGCCTGGCCCACAGTAACGATTGTACTCCATCAGAAGCTCACCGGGTACTGGAGTCGTCCAGCCTTCTGAGCTTTCATGGGTAAAATGCTGTCGGTGCTCAAGTGCCAACACCAGGAACTTCAAGGCTGGGTCACCAGCAGCTTCTCTGCGAAGTGCAGAGCAGCCTGAACTGGGCAGTCCTGTTTCCTTCCAGTTGGGGAATCTCGGCCTGACAGTCTGCTCCACAGCGACCAGGAGTCCAAGCCAAGCTCCCTCACTAGGCTGACACCCTCTGAGACTGGCTCCTCATCTGGAAAACAGAAGAAATCCTCTAGGCCTCCAGTGTTGTGTTTGTTTTTTAAGCCCAGTAAGATAACAGGTGTAAAGTTTGGGTAGACTTAGTCACCATGCTGAAGACCCCAGGGATTTATTCAGCACATTTAGGACAGCAGAAGCTCCAGTCCCTAGGAGAATTCCTAAAACAGCAGAATGCAATCCCTTTTGAAACAACAGACCTGTCAAAATAGAATTTAACAACGAACGTCCTAAGAAACGGAGTTTCACTGAAACATATAGCACTTCATTCTAAAAAGGGACTAGGGGTGGGGAGGGGAGAGTCCTATAAAAATGTTCAAAACCAGCAATTGGCTTTTGTAACCTTATCTGCCTGCCCTGAGACTCCCTGCTTTACCTACGGGGTAAGACGGTTCGGTTCCCATCAAGAGAAAACCGGGCAGAAAGGAGCCCAAAAGTGAGTAAATAAGCAATTAACGAGGGCTGGGGAGTCTCACAGGTTGGCAGTGACGAGGCACACACATTAAGAAATCAGGCACCTAGACATCAGAAAACATTTGAACTGCTGACTCCTCTTAGGAGATTCTCAAGGCTCCCAAAAAAGTTAGTGTAGCATCTGAAGAATGTTTTTAAAAGACACATTATAAAAATAAGTATCCCAAACAAGTGCAAGAAAGTGCCAGTGCTGGCTACTTTTTTGCAGCTTTCAAACTGTTTACATCGAGGTGTTTCGTGATTTTCAATAGCACGAACAGAGCGCGAAGGCGAGAAGAGTTTAATCTAGATCCACGGCTCCCGGTTTACTAAAATGCCTAGGGGCTTAAAAGGTGTTTATTTTTAACCACACAACAAACACGGAGTGGTTATAAATTCATTTTAAAGCAGTTCGCCTCCAACCCAAACTAAACAACCCCAACTTCAAAGAGCTGTGGCTTTGGACGAAATGAATTCAACCGTGGCGAAGGCAACACGCGAACTCGAAGTTCACAATCCGGGGCCCTTTCCCGAAGACGCACCAGACAAAGGGCGGCCCGGGAGCGCTGTGCAAAGCCGAGTGGGGAGAGGGCCGACGTGCGCCGCGCTCCGGGGCTGCGCCCGAGGCCGTCCTGGGAGCGCGGGTCCCGGCGTCTACGTGTCCTCCCGGGCCGGCCGGGCCACGGCGCACGCC